TCCCTCTTCTCCTTATATTACTATCCTCTGTTCCCAAATCTCATTTCTTTACCCCTCTGCTCCACCCCAAAACACGTACATCTCCCCCTCATTGCTATCATCTCCCTACTACTGCTCTCATCACCTCCCCCAAAATGCCTCTTCCACTCATTTTCCTCTCCTCCATTCCCAAAATCCATTCACTATATCCCTCTGCTCCTCCCAAACAATTGTATATTGTGTCCTCACTGCTTCCTTCACTCCTCTACGGCACCCACCACCTCCCCCTATTACTCCACTCTCCCACTGACCCGAACACCTCCACTAGTAGTTTCTCACGCTCCTGCACATCCCGCTCCCATGCCACCCTTCTCCTACACATAACCGTGGGGGACATCTCCCAGAATCCAAACCCTCCACCACCTCCCTCACAACACCCTCCCCCGCCTCCACGTCCTGCCGCAACCCCTGCAACTTAGTATCTGTCCCCTGCTCCCTAAAATCTCCCCCCCATTTTCATGTGCACTCCTGAACGCCCAAAACGGTGTGCAACAAGCTTACCGCCATCCACAACCTCTGTTTCCTGCTCCCTCAACCTCCTGGCGATTACGGAAACCTGGATCCAGCCCACTGACTCCCTCCCCTGCTGCACTCTCCTACGGCAGTCTCACCTGGACCCACTCACCCAGACCTAAACGGTCGTAAAGGTGGTGGGGTTGGTCTGCTCCTGTCACCGCAGAGCACCTTCCGAGTCCTCCCAAACCCCCCCTCCCTATCCTTCTCCTTCAAGGCCCACTGCGTCCGACTATTCTCCCCAACCCCTCTGAAGATTTCTGTGATATACCGGCCTCCTGGATCCATACCCCACGCCTGGATGACTACTCCTCCTGGCTACCCTTCTTCCTCTCCTCTGAGCTACCTTCCATCATCCTTGGGGATTTCAACATCCCTGTCAACCTCGACAACCCGGACACAGCCCGTCTCCTCCACTTAACCTCCTCCTTTGCACTTGCACAGTGCATACAATCCACCACCCACTCCGACAGTAATATCCTTGCTCTTGTCTTCTCCAACCGCTGCGCTGCGCCCACAACCTCACTAACACCCCCCTTCCCTCTCTCTGACCACAACCTGATTACCTTCTCTATCTCCTCGTCCTCCAACGCCTACCCCTCCAAATGTCACACTACTACCAGCCGTAACCCTCCGCAACCTTAACCCTGCCCCCCTCCACTCTGCAGCTGATCAACTCCACGACAGCATCCTACCCCTGTCCTGCACCGACTTGGGCTATGACTGCCTACAACGCGCTCTCAACAGCCATTGACTCACTAGCGCCCTTAACCACACGCAACATCAGACCCCGACCGCTCCAGCCCTGGCAGACTGATCACACCAAAACCCTCAAACGACACAGTCGTGCCCTGGAGCGACTATGGCACAAAATCAAATCCAAACAAGCCTTCAAGGATATCGCCGCAACTCACACGCCCTCTCAACCCGTCCCCTCTCACACAGCTACCCCCTCGACATAACCCGCAGGGACTGCGTCGCTGCTCAAACTCCCTCCAACCCCGTTCCCCCTCACTCAGCTACCCCCTCATCACCCCTCTCCCACAGCCCCACCACTGCTCTGACCTCCTTCCACCCCACCCTACATTCCTCATACTGAAGCTCCCCCAACACTCTGCACCTTTGACCTTACTACCATCGAGGAAGTCTCCAAGATCCTCTGATACCCGCCTCACCACCTGCCCCCTTGACCCTATCACCTCAAAACTCCTACGACCACCCTCCCCCTCCATCCTACGCTCCCTCACCCACATCTTTAAATCTCTCTCTCTCTCCCTCCGGCACTTTCCCCTCCCCTCTGAAACATGCACACATCACCCCCATACTTAAAAAGCCCTCCCTGGACCCCAATGACCCGAACAACCTCAGACCCATCTCCCTGCTCCCATTTACATCTAAACTCCTCGAGCGCCTAGTCTACACCCGCCTATGCTCTCACCTCAACAACAACCTCCTCGAGCCCCTACAGTCCGGCTTCCATCCCCTACACTCCACCGAAACTGCCTTACTCAAACTCTCCAACAACCTGCTAACCGCCAAAGCTAATGGCCACTATTCAGTGCTTCAACTCCTTGATCTCTCTGGAGCCTTCGACACAGTCGACCACCCCCTCCTCAAAAAAACTACACTCCCTCGGCCTCAGAGACTCCGCTCTCTCCTGGCTCTCATCCTACCTGTCACAATGCTCTTTCAGCGTTCCCTATAATACTACAACCTCCCTCTCACTCCCCCTCTCTGTTGGGGTCCCTCAAGGCTCAGTCATCAGGCCCCTTCTCTTCTCCATCTACACCTCCTCCCTTGGCCAACTCATACACTCTCACGGCTGCAACTACCACCTCTATGCCAACGACACACAAATCTATCTCTCAACCCCCCACCTCACCCCCTCGGTCTCAGCCCGAATCACACACCTGCTGAGCGACATATCAGACTGGATGTCGCTCCACTTCCTTAAACTGAACCTCTCCAAAAAGAGTTTGTCTTCCCCCCCAGCCCGGACCCCACCCCCCATTGACTTCTCCATCATGTCCAACAACACCACCATCAAACCCGCCCCACAGGCCAGAGTACTTGGTGTCATTCTGGACTCCAACCTATCCTTCCAGCCCCAAGGCCAATCTTTAACAAACTCGTGCAGACTCCACCTCTGCAACATAACCAAAATCCGCACGTTCCTAACCCCAGAAACCACCAAACCGCTCATCCACTCCCTCATCATATCACGACTCGACTACTGCAACTCCCTCCTCACTGGCCTGCCTCGCCGCTGGCTATCCCCGCTTCAGTCCATCCTGAATACGGCTGCCAGACTCATTCACCTTTCCAACCGCTCCATTTCCGCCACCCCCCTCTGCCAATCCCTCCTCTGGCTTCCGATTGCGCAACGGATCAAATTCAAAATCCTAACACTGACGTACAAAGCTGTCCACCATACTGCCCCGAACTACATCACTGACCTAATATCCAAGTACCACCCAACACGCACACTCCGCTCCTCACAAGACCTCCTCTCTAGTTCCCTGGTCTCCTCCAGGACTTCTCCAGGGTGTCACCCATCCTCTGGAACTCCCTGCCCCAACCCATCGGATTATCACCTACTCTCCTCTCGGCGCACCCTGAAAACCCATCTCTTCAGGGAAGCCTACCCCACCCCCTGCTAACTTGCCGACCTCCTCCACTCTTCCTACCACCCCATACCCCACAGCTATCTCCTCCTGTGCCACCATCCCCTCCCTCCTAGATTGTAAGCTCGAAAGAGCAGGGCCCTCAATCCCCTCTTGTTTTGCATTGTATTGTTCTTGTTCTGTCACATGTTCTGTCCCCCTTTGTAATGTACAGCGCTGAGCGAACTATTGGCGCTTTATAAATACTGTATATAATAAATAACTTCTATAAAAAAGGTAAGGGAAAGATAACATTTTAGTCACTTGAGGGTGACAGGCATGTATGGAGAGTACAGAGGCTTTGAAGATATGGTTCCCGCTCTAGAACCATGCCACATTACTTCTTACCTGAACTCACAGCTTGCCATCACAATGAAGGTCATTCTGATAGTCTTTGTGCTGCATCTCTCAAGTTTTATCTTGGCCAGCATCTCTCTCTCATGGAAAGTCCCATCATATGCGCTAGTAATGACTGTGACCTAACAGATCCTGGTACCAATAATGAAGTCATAGAAGAACATGGTTCTGGAGATGTTGAACAGACTGGAAAGGACCAAGGAGGAGAGAGCTCTGGAGATGACACAGGACTGATTGGAAAGGACCAAGGAGAAAATGAGTCTGGAGATAACACTGGACTCTCTGGAGTGGTTCTGGAGATCTAGTGGCAGTTATATTGTAAAGTGCCGAGGAAACTGTTGGTGCTATATAAATCCTGTATAATAATAAATAAAAAAAAAAAAAAAAAAAAAAACACATTTGGAATTTTGTCCTGCAGGTTAAAGCTGCAGCTGATCGCAACATTGATACATGCAGGCATGGCGTAAACATCATAAAAATCCAAAGGAAAAAAAAAAAAAAAAAAAAACCACAAACTTGGCTTCATATAAAAAAAAAAAAAAGACCTCCAGTCAAAGTAACCTTTACCAGCTATGACAAACAATTAAGGGGTGCCTCACACCCGACATAGTTGGTGAATTGCTCAGAGAACACGATTCAGATGCTCACAGCAGTGCTCACAGTTTTTTTGGTCAATATAAAATTATATACATTTTATTTATAAACTTATTGAAACTTACTTTGTATCCAGTGTTAAGAGAACCAGCAGGATTGGTCCTGATCACTTGGTGAGCGGAATAAATCAGCCAATCAGGGGCAGCACAGCACAGCATTGCACCACACTCAGCCATTCTTCCTGGCACCACCCCAGGACACTAAGGCAGGCAATGCCTTAGGATGTGTGATGTTAGGTGACAAAAAGGATTACAATCAACCCACAGACGTCAGGGACAAACATGACTTTGCCCAGCTCATCAAGGCAGAGGAATTATGCAAAGTCTTCAGAGCCAAAAGACAAATCATCAGGAAAAAAAACTAAACCTAACGTTTCCTGAAGAGAGATGGGCGCAAAGTCCGGAAGGCGGGCAAAAATGAGATCAGCATCCTCAAAATGGTGAAGCACCCCAACATTTGGCAGCTGGTTGATGTGTTTGAGACAAAAATGAGATATTTCATCTTCATATAGCTAGCTTCAGGCCAGGAAGTGTTTGACTGGATCCTTGATCAGGGTTATTACTCAGAGAAGGAAAAAAGTAACGTCATGCGGCAGGTCCTGGAGGCTGTGGCCTATCTTCACTCAATGTGTATTGTGCACAGGAACCTCAAGTTGGGGAACTTGTATTATAACCGTTTGAAGAATTCCAAAATAGTCAGTGACTTTCATTTGGCTAAAATTGGAGACAAGCATCAAAGAGCCCTTTTGTCACAGCCTGAGTACCTGGCCCAGAGGTAGTCGCACTCCAGCGATATGGTCGGCCTGTGGAATGCAGGGCCATCGGAGTTATTTTGTACATACTCTCTGGGAACTCTCCATTCTACAATGAGATGGAGGAGCAAGATTACGAAAATTATGACAAGAACCTGTTCCGGAAGATTCTACATGGCGATTACAAGTTTGACTCTCAATATCGGGATGATATTTCTCTAGCAGCCAAAGATTTGGTGTCCCGTCTGATGGAGGTGGACCAGAGGGTGATGGTGGCAGATGCCATTAGACATGAATGGATTTCAGGGAACGCTGCATCCGATGAAAACTTAAAGGATGAAATGTGTGCGCAGATTGAGAACTTCACAAAAGCCAAAAGGGAGAAAGCTATGGGGGTGACCACCATGTTGAAGAGCCTGTGTCAGGAATGGACTCTAGTGCTAGTGGTGGGACTCACCTGCCGTGTGGGCTGCAGTACCAGAGCTGGTGCTCTCAGCAGCCGGAAGCTCACTTCTGCAATCAGCCAAACCTGGGGCTGATTGCAGGTGGTGTATTTAAGGCATGACCAGGCCTGTGATCTGGGCCTTGGTGTATGTTTTCCCATGAGCCCCTGTACCTGGTATCTTGTGTTCCTGCTTCGTTGCTGACCCTGCTTGATCCTGACCTCTGCTGACCGTCTCCTGTTGAACCCATGGCTTGCCTGACCATCCTTCTGCCTGATCCCCTGTACCACGCTGCCCGTGAGTTACTGAACCCGGCTTGTGACCCTGACCATTCTCTGCCTGCTCCTTTGGTGGCTTGCTGCCCGCACATTGCTGACCTGGCCTGTCTGACCACGCTACTACTCTGCCATCCATCCAGCACGGATCCAGCCGTCCCTGCTCATACCTTCTGCCTCTTCACATCAGGCTTTCTACCTGCACATACCTCTGGCGGATCCCTCTACCACTAGCAGGTGTACTCAGGGGCCGCGACCTGGTTCCTGTCTGCTCCAATCCCCACCATCAGGGGCCCTGGTGAATAAGCAGACTGGGACTTAGACTCCACGCCCTGGGGAATCCTGTCCTGAGGACCGCTAGAGGTACCAAAACGGTCATTACAGAACCCTACGGCCGGCCTGACCGTTCCACCTCTCCAGCCCTGACTACGCCTGTGTTCCTGCACCTACTATGATTAGTGGAAGGTTGGTTTGCTCACTGTGCGTTATATATATATATATATATATATATATATATATATATATATATATATATATATATATATTTGGGTGGCTAAAATAAACTGTATTATACTGTACCTGAGACCTGCGTTTCCCTGTGTCAGTCCACACCTTTCTGGTCACTCCTAGATTCCTGACAGCCTGAGGGCACCAAAACAGAGTCCAAGACCCACAGAAGCCAGCAACAAATATATGACTTGGGCCAGCTCAATGGATGAGGAAGATTATGAAATTTATGACAAGAAGCTGTTCCTGAAGATTCTACATGGCGATTAGGAGTTTGACTAAATATTGGGATGAGATTTCTCTAGCAGCCAAAAGATTTGGTGTCCCATCTGATGGAGGTGGACCAGGACCAGAGGGTGACAGCAGTGGACACCATTAGCCATGAATGGATTTCAGGGAATGCGGCATCCGATAAAAACATCAAGGGCGGAGTGTGCGCAGCTTGAGAATAACTTCACGAAAGCTAAAAATGGAAGAAAGCTGTGGGGGTGACCACCATAATGAAGTGCCACCACCTGCTAACACCCCAGCTGAAGAAACGCCATCCCAGCTCAGCCCCTCCCCTGACGGCGGTTAAGCTGGTCCTCATCCAGTGCTATAACCCTATTCACCGCAGATCATACCGTCATTAACCCTTCCTCTCCCTCCACCACGATGGGCCACTCTGCCATCATGTCATTAACATTTTCCTCCACCAGATGGGTCAGCAGCAGATGGTGGAGCAGACATGCCACTACCATCCCGTTAGAGTGAATCGCAGCACTGACCTCCCATCGCTCCATTAACCCTTCCACCACTACGGTCAAGCATGACTCTAACCCTTTAGTTACTAGAGATCTACTGCACTGTTAGATCATTCCCCTCCCCCCCCCATTCTCCTGACAGCTGACTAAATGTGTAAAGAACACCACCATGTCCATCCTCCACTCCACATTTCTACACCACCGCCGCTAAAGCAGACCTGTCATCACCAGCTAATGCTTTTCTGTGCTTCTAAAAACACTACCTAAATATTTCCTGCAGAAACTTTTTCTAAAGAGCCTTGGATTGTCTTCTTTCTGGCCACCCCCCAGTAACACCTCCTTCCTTTCTCAGATAATTAATAAGTAGAGGTCCCCCTTACTAGTGAGTATACAGATCTGCTTTATGTCTTGGCTTCTTTCCTCTTCTTGAACCCTGTATTTACCCCTGACTGGGGCAGATGATTCAGGCTGGTTGACCCCTTTATTTTCCAAATCGGGGCACATAATCTACAGACCTTTACCGTGTGTGTTGTATGCTTTTCTGTCAATCAAAACTTGCTGCTTCTCCCAAAAAAAAAAAAAAAAAAAAATATGAACAAGCAGGATCAGTCCTGATCACTGGGTAAGCGGAGAAATTGGCTGATCAGGGTCAGCACAGCACCGACCCCACAACACTAAGGTGGGCAATGCCGTTTGGATGTGTGATGTTAGGTGACAAAGGATTACAATCAACCCACAGAAGTCAGCGACAAACATGACTTGGGCCAGCTCATCAAGTCTGAGGAATTCTGTGAAGTCTTCAAAGCCAAAGACAAATCATCAGGATAACTCTACACCTGCAAACTTTTCCAGAAGAGAGATGGGTGCAAAGTCCGGAAGGTGGCCAAAAATAAGATCAACATCCTCAAAATGGTGAAGCACCCCAACATTCTGCAGCTGGTCAAAGTGTTTGAGACAAAAAAGAAATATTTCATCTTCCTGGAGCTAGCTTCAGGCCGGGAAGTGTTTGACTGGATCCTGGATCAGGGTATTATTACTCAGAAGGATACAAGTAACGTCATGCGGCAGGTCCTGGAGGCTGTGGCCTATCTTCACTCACTGTGTATTGTGCACAGGAACCTCAAGATGGAGAACTTGTATTATAACCGTTTAAAGAATTCCAAAATAGTCATCAGTGACTTGCATTTGGCTAAATTGGAGACAAGCCTCATCAAAGAGTATGCTGTTACACAGTTAATATTTATGTTAATGTACATGAGAATCATATAGTTTCTTTGTACCATTTCCTATGGACATTTCTATAGTTAGTTATATGCTGCCATCAGTGGCCTTATTTGGTAATGCACTTGTTTTTCATGTTGCCTCCCTGTGATCTATGACAGTTCCTTTGTATATGAAGCTCCTCCCTTCTTGAGTACAGCACTTCCTGTGTCATGGAGGCAGCTAACAGTCCACATGTAACAGGGACACATGTATTCTGCATAGTACGCTACAGAAAGTATCATCTTTTGACCGCATAAATACTGGAAACCATTCATTCTGCTGTATCCTGTTGTCACATGTACAGAATAAAGCAACTTCTGGATGAACACAGTATTGGTGAGTTCAGCTATCGGATAAGGATTGTCCACAGTGATTATATCTGCTTATACAGGCTAGGCAGAGAGGTCTCACAAGGGATAAATTGCTATCACAACAATCTGAGTCAGAATAAAGAGCCTTGTGGCACACCTGAGTACCTGGCCCCAGAGGTAGTCGCAGGCCAGCGATATGGTTGGCCTGTGAACTGCTGGGCCATCAGAGTTATTTTATATACATACTACTCTCTGGGAACCCTCCGTTCTACGATGAGATGGGAGGTGCAAGATTACGAAAGTCATTGCAAGAACCTGTTCTGGAAAAATCTACATGGTGATTATGAGTTTGACTCTCCATAGTAGGATGATATTTCTCTAGCAGCCAAATATTTGGTGTCACATCTGATGGAGGTGGACCAGAGGACGACAGTGGCGGACGCCATTAGTCATGAATGGATTTCAGGGAATGAGCATCCGAGAAAAAAAACACAAAGGACGGAATGTGTGTGCGCAGATTGAGAAGAACTTTGTGAAAGCCAAAATGAAAGAAAGCTGTGTGGGTGACCACCATGATGAAGCGCCTGAGGGAACCAGAACAGACCAAGTACAAGACCCTTTCTCCATCCATGGACAGTGAGCAGACGCCAGGCCTGGACTACCCCCGCACAGTCAACTGCCAGCACCTCAGATGAAGAAACAATCCCTGCTCAGCCCCTCCACTGACGGAACTGGATGAGGACCAGATTAACGACCATAACCCTATTCACCACAGAGCATATCGTCATTAACCCTTCCTCTCCCTCCACCATGACGGGCCTCTCTGCCATCATGTCATTAACATTTTCCTCCACCAGATGGGTCAGCAGCAGATGGAGCAGAGATGCCACTACCGTCCCATTGGAGAATTGCAGTGCTGACTTCCATCGTCCCATTAACCCTTCCACGGCTACGGCCAAGCATTACTCTCTTTAGTTGCTAGAGATCTACTGCACTGTTATAGCATTCCTCCCCCTCATTCTCCTGATAGCTGTTGGACTAAAATGTAAAGATCTCCACCATATTCATCCTACACTTCATGACTCCATTCCATCTTTCTGCACCACCACCGCTAAAGAGGACCTGTCATCACCAGTTAATGCTTTTCTGTGCTTCTAAAATTACCTAAATATTTCCTGCAGAAACTTTTCTAAAGAGAGCCTTGGATAGTCTTCTCTCTGGCCACCCCCCAGTAACACACCCTCCTTTCTAAGATAATTAAGTAGAGGTCCCCCTTACTAGTGAGTATACAGGTCCACTTTACGGCTGGGAGGAATCTCTTGTACTGTATATACACGGGCAGGCTTCTTTACTCTTCTTGAACTCTGCATTTACCACTGCCTGGGGCAGAGGATTCAGGCTGGTTGTTCTGCAAGACGGATCTTATTACATCTCTGAAGCATACCAGCTTCTTTCTGAAAGTCAATTATCTCAAACTCAACAAAAGGGACCCCTTGAGCAAATACTAACAGGGAGCTCAAAAGTCTATTAGACACTGAGGTACATCTTCCAAAAGCATACAAAATTCTTTTTTTCCTCCAAGAAGGCTAATTGAGGCCTCCATGGAGAGTAATCGCCCATGGGTTATCACAATGTATTGAGTTTCTTGGATATAAATTTTTTATATACAACCATACCACATGAGGTTGGCATCACCACCCTAGGTCACTTTTTGGTCTTGATCATTCCAAGGTCCAGTTCATCATGGAAGGCAATAAAATTTTCCCTAGAGCACAACTATTTCCCCAGATACGGGATATCACCAATGGTGAGTCTTTTGCACCGTTACACCAACCTTACTCATGGGCTGGTGGAAGGAGCTCCATATCTGGAGAAACAAACCTTTTGCTGCCCATATAGTTTATGGCCAATACATAGACAAACCGTATTTTTCGCTCCATAAGATGACCTCTCTCTTCACCCCAAAAATAGGGGAAAATGTCTGTTTCTTATGAGCGGCTGGCCCGGTATTCCCGCTACTGATGTTTTAGAATACCGGGCCGGCCGCTCTGCTCTGTGCAAAAGAGCCCGCTCCTCTGTGCCACCATTTTCAGTGTGGGCACCAGGCTGTGAAAGCTTGCGGCTTCACGCCAGGTGCGAGAAGCGCTGCTCTTTGTGAATGGTCCTTTAGTCTTGTGAAACTGGTCACATGTCCCACAAGACTACAGGGAGGAAGGGGAGTAGGACAACGCCACGGAAGTAGAAGGTACCTGTCAAATTCGGGGACCCACCCCCCTTCTGGTCATCTCCTGTACTGTGTCTGCAGTCCATTGGATCAGAATTTTGTTTTTCTTGTTTTTCAACTCCTGAAAAATCTAGGTGCGTCTTATGGAGCGAAAAATACGATTATCATCCTAAAGAATGGCTCTCTCCACTTTCTTTGTAGAGTATTCTAAAGACAATGAAGTGGGCCTCTTTCACACATGTCCAGCTCAACTTCTTTGGTATTTTTACATCCAAAGGTTCGATTATCTCCAAAATTCGGTTCAAGCCTACAAATCAGGTAATTCATACCTGTACCATCTAAGTTGCCTCTATCCAGCTTGGATAAAGAATGTTCCCAAAAGGCCAATTCACTAGATTCTGTAAAAACTGTACCTTGGATGAAGACAATTCCTCTCAGGGGCTTATTTTGAGAGGCAGGTGATTAGGAAAAGGCTTTTACCCCCATCTAATGCAACAGGTTTATGAAGATTAGTCTTCCACACACCAAGAGTTCCAAATCAGATCATTTGGATAGGTTTGACATTAAATTCAACACCCAGTATTATTTCACATTACAGGGAGAGTATACATTTTTATGCCACAGGAGCATGCTACAAAAAAGATCCCAAATCAGGACCATTCCTTCCTTATGAAACCTTAGCTTGTCTGAGAAGAGCTCCCAATACTAACAGCATAGCCCCCAGCAAGCTTACATTATCAAGAATGTCCACTTGTCATTTTTTGGCAACTTTCTGCCACTTAAAATGCAATGTACCAGTGTGAGAAAACCCAGTGTAAGATGAGCTCATGTGTGAATCCCAGATAAAAAGCATTTCCAAAATAGTACTGGAAACCTTTACCAGATTGAGAAT